CATAGGTGTATGGAATAATGTCCCCAAATCCTCCATCTGACGCATTGTTCTAGGCCCAATACAGTCAGAGAAGCATTGAGGATGCCCCAGAGGTAGGCCGAGAACTCAGGGAATGCAAAGAATATTGTGTATTTCATCAATTCATAACTCCACTCACAACACTGTGGGTGGTACTGCACGCATCAATATCAATACAGAACAGGATATGGGCACCTTGTGGGTTCCCATTATGACCGGGAGGAAGGAAATGGCGACAGGAAACTGGCCCGGCTAAGGGAACCTCGGCTGGCAACAGAAGAAGCTGAGCTTGCAATTCCCCATGGCAATCTCGTCCTCTCGGCACTCCTTTCTGCACTTGCCCCGGCCCAGCCTGCAGGGCTCACACGGAGCGAAATCACCTGTGAGAGAGACAGAGACAGACAGAGACAGAGACAGAGAGAGATGCTGACACACATTCCTGAGTCTTTCCTCCCAAGGACGCCCAGTCCACAGAAACTGTGGGTTTGTATCTAAGATTCTAAAGGGGTTGTGTCTAAGAGTCTAAAGGGTTTGTATCTAAGTCTAAAGGATTTGTGTCTAAGTGTCAATGGGTTTGTATCTAATAGTCTAAAGGGTTTGTATCTAATTGTTTAAAAGGTTTGTATCTAAGAGTCTAAATTGTTTGTATCTCAAAGTCTAAAGGGTTTGTATCTAAGAGTCTAAAGCGTTTGTTTCTAAGAATCAAAGGTGTTTGTATCTAAGATTATAAAGGATTTGCATCAAATAGACTAAAGGGTTTGTGTCTAAGACTTTAAAGGGTTTGTATCAAATAGCCTAAAGGGTCTAAGAGTTTAAAGGATTTGGGGCTGGAGCTATATTGGAGGGGTGGGGGGGGTGGTAGGGCGGCTGTCTTGCTTGAGGTCAACCCGCGTTCTATTCCTGCCATCCCATTATGGTCCCCCGAGCACCGCAAGGGTAACACCGCCTGAGTGCATGAGCCAGAAGTAACCCCTGTGCATCACTGGGTGTGACCCCAAAATTTAAAAAAATATTTTAAAAACATAAAAGAAAAAACGTTTAAAGGATTTGTATCTAGGCTTATAAATGGTTTGTATCTGATAGCCTAAAGGGCTTCTGTCTAAGAGTCTAAAGGGTTTTTAGGAACTGGCCCAGAGCTTTCAGAGACACCTGTGTTTTCAGAATGCAGTGGGTGTCTACATTCTTAATCAGCATGTAGGCACAAACCCTCTTACTGTGTTTATAACCATGTGAGGTCGGAAGGAAGGGAGGGGACACCGCAATCCACGAGCCACAAGGAAGATCCCAAGTGAGCTGAGGACTCCGCCCTGCAGGAGGGAGCATCGTGGGATTCTGCTAGACCAAAAGTGAGTCGCAGCATCAAGACTCCTCGTGTCAGCCCGGGGAGGCCACTGGGCTCAGATAGAGGCCAAGCTGTGCTCTCCCTCTGTCCAACGACATTCCAGAATCCTTCACGATTTTTAAAAATTTTCTGCTGGTGCTGCCCCTCGGTCGCAAGAGACCATTTCTTTCATTGTACTTGTGTTTGGGGCCACACTGGCAGTGATCAGGGCTGCCCATGCTGTGCCTTCCAAGATCACTGTTATTTGGTTTCTGTGATCTTTGGGGAGTGGAGGGTGAATCCAGGTTGGCTGTAGGCAGGACAGGAGCCGGACTTGCCGTACTGTCCCTCTGTTCCCTGAGAGATACCCCCTACTCCATCTTTGGTGTCAGACATCAGGGCCTTTAGAGCTGCTCTGAGGGCATCTGCTGGCTGGGTTCATCCCCCGAGTCAGGGCCACAATGAGTGACTTGCTGGGCTGGCACCAGAAGCTGCTCAGGCACTGATCTTTCTTCGCTTCCCAGCACTGCACATCTCAACCTGTCGGCCCTGAGGCTCCAGGTGGGAAGAGTCTGATGGGGTTCTTGGGGGCACGTGGGGATGAGGCGCCAGAGCCCAGCAGTGCTGAGGCCTCAAGTGCGTCTCGGCAGCGGCAGCAGCCCGACCCCTCCCAGATGCTCCTGGGATGCTGCTGCCCAGGGCGCCCCTCACAGGCCCTCAGAGCATTGGGCTGTGCGCTGGGAGATGTTGGGGAACATTTTGCCCAACTGTACCCTATCACGTTGCTCAGCGTGTCTGGGCACGTGGGACCAAGGATGACAGGGGTGTGGAGAAGCAACCTCAGGAGCAGCCAGTGACTCTTTACTTCATTGCCAAATACACACATATTTTATAGAGGGTCTTAGCTTTCCAGGAAGGTCCAATCACATAAAGTTCAGCATTATTGGCCTATCACATTTCCTACTCTGCTTTGCCCTGGTCCAATCCAAATTAAGGCTAGATACTGTGCCTAGGATGATTTACTCAGTGTAGATGACAGTGTCTGTATTTGGGGCACATGTGACTAGGGGGTCGGATGAGGCTCAGGGCCGGACACCTGGTGTTGACACCCTGTTCTTGCCAAGTTTGCACAGTTCCTCCCATCTGGGCCACTTTGCAAGGTAGGGTCTTATCTGTTCCAGTGCCTGTAGCCATGCTCCACAGGGAGAGACTCTCTGAAACAGGGGATGCCCTCAGGACTTGCCTCTCTTTCCAACCCACTGCTCCACACAGGGGCAGCGACACCTCTGACACTGTCTCTGTTCAGGGAACAGAACCAGGGTGAGGTGGATAGCTGAGCCCAATCCCAGAACATGAACTGATGGGAGACCACAAAAACAGGCCCACATTCTGATGGCCGAAGGAAAGGCAGCAGCAGTGATTTCTCTATGGATGGAAACCATGGGGACTGTCGAACCCGAGGCTGAGAGGAGAATAGTGTGCTGGTAGCCGGACCATTGCCAGGCACTGCCACTCTATGACTTCCGGTGTCTCTGTGACCTGCGAGGCTGATGAGCTCAAGTGTCCCCAGGGAGTGAGCGGGTCAGAGTTCTAAGAGTGAAAATGATACACAAGAGAAGGAACTCACCTGTCAGAAACAGACGGTTATTCTCAAATCCTGCCTGGCACCCTAAATGCGAAACAAAGCACATTGGGGAGGGAAATGACCATGCAGGCAATGACACCCATGCCACAGCTGTCCCTGCCAGCCCTGGAGAATGTATCCTCATGGTATCACAGAGAAGCAGCTGGATTCACAGCGAGAGATCGGTCAGGTCAGACATTAATTTAAGTAATCCCAGGAGGGAGCAGAGACCCCTGGGAGGTCCCAAGAGAGACCCTGAGAAGCGTGTGTGGCCAAGGCAGGCAGGAATTGTGAACTGTGTCTGCCCCAGCAGTTTGACCCATTCCCCACCCACCCACCCACCCTCCCACCCATCCCCGTTTACCTGCTGGAAGCTGAGCCAGAAGGAAGCAACAAGCAACAGCAAGAAGCAGCTTCATCCTGCCGGGCCCGGCTGAAGGGAGGGAGACTCTTCACCACAGAGCCGAGGTCCGGGGGGGGACACGGTTCTCGAGGCTGACAGGGGAGAGGCCGCATGCAGACTGCCCGGATCAGGGGCTGAGCTGCCGGAAATACTGCCGGGCCAAACTTCTCAGTCAGTGAAGTGAATCGACTGAAACATTCCAGGCCCTATTGCCAGGATCGGGCACTGCTATGACTGGTGGGAACCTCGGCCTCCGGAAGCCCGGATTGGCTTCTCGCTGGACTCTGCACTGTGGACACTCTTGACCTCTTGACCCTGCCCCGCTTGAGTGCCTCCACCTGCTTCCGGGCTCCTGTGCCCACACGTCTATGAAGGGCCCCTGAGCACTGGGGCTTATATGGCTCAGGTGTGGGCTCCAAGCCAGCCACCCCCGGCTCAGTTACTCAGAAACCCCATTGCTTTCAGCCACACCAACAACCGTTTCCGCTCTGAGGATCTGTCCTGCATTTCCCACGAATTAGCCCCCAGTGACTATTGGTCCACTAAGCACCCAGCCCATCACTAGCGAACACTCTGTCCCCTGAGTTCCGCCCGCTCCCCTCTTCCTGCCATGTCTTTTAGGGCCCTTGGGGTCCCACTCCTGTACTCCTCTCATCCTTGGAGGGAAGTGGTCTCATTCCCTATCTTCGGAATTGCCCTCATCCTTAGCAACCATGCACGTGCTGCCCAGCACTGCCCTGGCCCCTGAACTCCTGCCCTTTTCTTGTCCAAACCCCAAATTCAGAAACTCTCACACCCTGTACAAAGGAGTCACCGATCCAGTGCACCTCCTGGAGGTGACGCAGGGTCCCTCACTCATGTGGGCACCACAGCCTCCTGGGGGCCACTCGGGGCCTTGTGCACCCTCAGGCCAGGTCCTGGACAGCAGAGTGTCCACCTCGCCCACCCCCATGTCCTGCTGGTCCCCTCACTCAACTGGGGGCGAGGGGGGCGTACAGAAGAGGTTGGGCCGTGGTTGGTCCAGGGGACCAGTCCCAGAGAGCGCTCCCTCAGCACCATCATCCATCCATGGGAGTTTAGGAGGATGAGTCTCAGGCAGAGAGACATGTGGGTGCTTTTGAATTTGTATTTTCACCTCTTGCATGACACCTGGTAGCAGGACGCTGCTCCACTGGCAGCATTTCTCTGTCTGTCCTGATGGAGAGTCACAGTTTTTAGTAAAGACATGAGACACCCTCAAGTGATCAAGGGGCTCACAGCTGAGATGGCTCAGGGCTGAGATCTAGACTCCATCCAGCCCAGTGTACCAGCTTGGAACATGGAGTGTTCACCCCACAGTGCTCACAGGCAGTGACTCGCTCCCGGTGCCAACTGCAACAAGAGCCAACATGCGGGTCCCAGGACCCTCGTTCCTGCTGCTCTGATCGGCTGCTCTGTGCTCCCGGCCCTGTTTCAGAACCAGAGCAATAAGGGCTGGAACCAAGGGACATTTTGGGCTGTGTGGGCTGCAGCCGCATGGCACAAAACGCCTCCCTCTTACTGTGGGTCAGCGGTCAAGATGCTATCGGCTGGGCAGGAGCAGGGTGGGTGTTTGCTGCTGTCCTCAGAACGCCGAGCCCCACGGAGCCACCAGCATGAGGACACTGCTGCTTCTCCTGGCTCTCCTCTCCTGGGTGGCCCCAGGTAAGGCGCCTGGCCGGGGACTCTGCTGTGATTGTCCGTGTGACTCCCATGGGAGGCAGTGGCCCTGGTCTTGGCCCTAGAGGGCACTGGCTGTCAGGGATGACACTCCTAGTGCCACTTCTGCTGGGCCTGTCTCCTGGCACTGTTATTAAGGGGTGCCCTGGTGTCTCAGAAAGACACCGTGGAAGTAGGGCCAGGGGCTGGCTTCATCTCCAGGCCATGGACAGAAGGCCAGGACAGCAGTGAGTCGTCAGAGATGGGGAGGAGAGAGTGTGACCAAGGGCACCGAGATGGCCCTGAACAGGACAGTAGGTTCAGCAGGAGAGTAGAAAACGCTGTTTCTCAGGCACATGGTGTTAGATGGACTGTCCCCAAGCCTCGCAAACTGGACCGCACTTCCAGCTCCACACCAGCTTCTCCCGGGACCCTCTGTCCTCCCAAGCTGAGTGACCCTGGGAATGAAACTTCTGGGCTGGCAGGGCAGGAATGTGGGCTGGGAACCCTGTGGCCAGGCTCCTGCCCAGGGCTGCTGCGTGTGAAGCTCGACCCCTCAGAAGGCACAGCTGGTCTGTTCCCAGGGAGAAGGTCAGGGGTGACGAGAGCCCAGCTTGTTGGGATGTCCAGAGCAGGGCAGGGGGTTGAGCCCGTGTTCTGGCTCAGTGACAGAATGTCCTTCCCATTGGGACTCGCTCCCCTGAGGCTGCACCTAGGTTCTCCTCCTTGGACCCTGAGCCTGGGCTCTGCAGGGCCTGGCCAGTAGGGCAGGAAGGGGGTGTGTAGGCCCCAGGCTGTCCCATGTCCCCTGCTCCTAGTGGACGGAGCCGGACCTCGTTCGCTTGCTGGGGAAGGGATCTGCATGCACTTGGAACCAACATCTGCGAGCTTCTGGCCTTTGCTCCAGGTGGCCAGTGGCGGCCCTGAGGCTGTCCCCCATCCAGCCTGATGTCCCAAGAGTCAGCCGTGTCCAGAATTAACAGAGCCTGGGCAGGGAGGGGGGCCCGGTGCCCCCTCTGTGGAAGGAGAGGACACGCCCAGGGAAATCCCCAGCAGTTCCCGCTTTCCCGGTGACGGGCAGTGTGAGGCTAACCTCTCCCTCACCACCTTTCCCTTTCCAGGCAGGAGTGAGTTTTTTGACGAGAGGTGCTCCCGGATGAAGGGCCGCTGTGAGGAGCACTGCCAGAAGAGCGAAGAGCTTGTGGGCCTGTGCCGCCGCTCCCTGTCCTGTTGTCTGCTGCTGCAGCCATGCGAGATTCCTAAGCCTCTGCTCCCCGTGGGGCCCCACGCCCAGACCCCGCGCCGTCTGCCCCCAGCCCCACTCCTGCAGGCACCACAATAAAGATCAGGGGCTGTGTTCCCCGCTGACCACGGGCTTTTCTCACCTGCGACAGGCTTGTGTCTCTGTTGGTGGCATGGACTGTCCCCGAGGGACCCAAGAGTGCCTCTAAGAGGACCCAGCAAGCTCTTCCCAGTTCCTGCCAACCCCCAGACACCTACAGCCCCAGATGGGACTGGAGATGCCATGGTGAGGGGCTGATGTGATGCCGGGTGGCTCTTTTCATGTTTATCATCCATCAGGTTCAGCCTCCTGCACCCAGAGCCTGCCCCGGCTTTCCTGTGTCTTTCACTTAGAGCCTCGGGCCAGCGGGTGAAGCAAAGGCCCCTTGAGGCCTCTGATGGGAGACAGATGCACAGGGAGACCTGCTTGGCAGGGACACTCACCATCCATACCAGCGGGCACAGCCTCTCCAGCAATAGTGGTTTGGTTGTGGTTAGTCAAGCGCACCGGATCCCTACTGTGTCCAAGGACACCTCTCCGTGGTGGGGACGGTCAGGCTGAGCCCAGCACGAACCTCGCGGCCTCTCAGGTGCTTTATCTCTGTAGCCTCCGTTTCCTCCTCAGGAAATGATCCAGTTGGGGCCAGATAGACATGCAGGGTTAAGGCGCTCGGGTGGTGTCCGGTTTCTTCATAGCAGCACACAGGGCCCTCGCGCGCCACACGGGAATAGCCCCCAGAATCCCGCCAGCCGTGGCCCCAAAACTAGGGGTGAAAATGATCAAGTACAAGTCTGAGAGTCTGATTTCTCGTCAGAGGATGGGGTCTAGCAGCACCCACGCTGACCAGCAGAGGGCGACCTTGGCTCTGCCCAAAGATGGAGCTAGGCGGGTGGTGGTGTGTGGTGGGTGGTGGGCGGTGGTGGTGGGTGGTGGGCATAAAGGCAGGCCCTGGGTGGGTCTCACCCAGCTACAAGGGTTGCCATGGGCTGTGGCAATGAAGGGACTCGAGGACCGGAGCTGGAGCACAGAAGGCCGGGCACTTGCCATGGTCTCACCCCAGATAGCCCCTGAGCCCGCCAGGAGTGACCCCTGAGCACCCCCAGTGAGCACAGACTCACACACCAGGAGTGGACGCAAGCACAGGCTGGCAGGGGTGGCAGGGGGACACTCATAGCATCTCCCCTCGCCGGGAGAGGGGACTGCTGCTTCCGGCCGGCCCCTTTCCAGTCAGGGGGCCACAGCCAGAGCAGGGGGTTGGGCCACTCCCCTGGGGCTGGGGCTGGGGGGCACCCATGAAGCTCTCTGCTGCCCCCCAGGGTCAGCACATCCCCAGCAGGGGGTGCTGGAGGGGCCCAGCCCACCCCTCAGGTGGCCACAGGCAGGGGCAGTTTCTGCTCAGCCCAGGAGAGGCCAGAGCCGACTCGGACGGCCCAGGAATCTCTGCAGGACGTGGTCAGCTGGGGGCACACGCCAGCCCTTCGGCCCCCATAGCCCACTCACTCGAGGCCCAGCTGGCCCAACCCTCAGAGCCTGGTGTGGGGCCACGGGTACAAGTACATAGGAGCCAGCTGGGCAGGACCCCCCCAGGCTGGGGTGAGACTTGAACTTCGGGCCCTCACCCCAGAATCTCCAGGCACAGGGCGGTCTGTTAGGGGCTTGTCTGGGACCCCACGGGCCCCTCCTCTGTCTGGGTGTCCTGAGTATCATTCTACCTCCACAACCTATGAGCCTCTGCAGGAGGAGGGAGGGGAGGAAGCAGAGGAGGAGGGAGGGAGGGAGGAAGGGAGAGGACGGAAGGATGGAGGGAAGGAGGGAGGGCGGGGGGAAAGGAGAGGGGAGACGGGAGGAAGGAAGCAGAGAAGGGAGAGAGGCTCACTGGCCACCAGAGGGGGCCAGTGCGAGCCCTCCCAGCCCAAGGGACCCAGCCCCAGCAGCTGAAAATCTCCAGAACTCAACAGCCACCGACTCGCACCCGCTCTCCACACACTCGGGCCAAGCCTCACCCACCAGTGATCCTATTCCTGGACACTTCATGCCACACACCCTACCCATCCTCTAAGAGTACCACACCACATCTGATGGGGTTCACAGTAGTAAGCAACCAATATCAGAGTGAATTTTTTTTAACATATAAATGTGTGTGTGTGTGTGTGTGTGTGTGTGTGTGTGTGTGTAAGCACACAAGGCTCAACCTTCAACAACATGTTAGTGATCTCCTATAGAAAGGCTTACTGGTCCCTGGGTGATATATAGCAATCGTCACCCTCTTTCCTCTAAGGATACTTATTTGTAGAATTTTCAGCAGTTTTTCATAACAAACAGTATAAAATATATTATTTTGGTTCTGCTTTGGGACAAAGATTGGGGTTCAGGATGGAAACATCTGAAATACGGTGGTGGAATGGTGTCATGGTGGTGGGATGGGTGTTTGAATATTAAATATAATCAAATATTGTGAACTACTTTATAAAATTAAAAAATACAAAAAGGAGAGAGGAGAGAAAGGGAGAAGAGGGAGGGGAGGGAGGAGGGAAAGAAGGAAGTGAGGGGAGAAAGGGGAAAGAGGGAGGGAGGGGAGGGGAGGAGAGGGGAGGGAGGAGACTCAGAATCGTCCAGCTAGAGGGCCCTGGAGGAGTCCAGAGCAGGGCAGGTGAGGCCTGGCCAGTCTCTTCCTCCCACCTCAGTGAGCCTGCAGCTCGGGCCCAGATCGGCCGGGGTGCTGGGAACACAGTGACAGGCCCGGGACAGCCTCAGGGATGCAGTAGGGCCTTCCCGGAAGGCTGGAGGGCCCCGGAATCCAGTCCAGCTGGTGACGCAGGGCTAAGTTTGGCGCTCGGGCCGGGACCTCCCTTCTCCGGAGCCATGGTCCCTGGGAAGCAGGGCAGCAGGGACAGGCCACCAGCAGCGTTGAGTGATGCTGGCACCCGCCTTGGACAGAGCTTGGCTGGGGGTGGAGGAGCCCGACCATGTCCCCTCCCCAAGAGCACCCAGAGAAGGAACCGCAGTTACGAGCCCCAGACTGGCACCCCAGGCCCTCGGGACAAGCAGGGGTCCATGGGGCTGCAGCTTTGTCAGAGCCTGGCCAGCAGCTACCCTCACTGGCTCCCCAGGGATCCTGGAGGGGCTCTGCTGCTGTCCAGATTCCTGGGGTCAGGCAGGCACTGCAGTGGGTCACCCCCTGCCCAGTACAGCCTGGAGGGAGCCCCTGAGCCCTCTGGGGTTCATGCCCCAGCTGCCCCCTCACTAACCCTCTCCCGCAGGGCGGTTTGCAGGGAGGGACTGAGAGCAGCTGTGGGTGGTTCTGGCTCCATTCTTCCAGAAGGACGGTTGGGTTCTAGAATCTTCTACAAAGGCTTCCCTCCTGCAGCTCAGTCTTTCTTCCTGGATGGGGGCAGGTGACCCTCCAAAGAGGAAGGGAGAAGGAAAGCAAGGGGCTTTTCTCTGTCTGCTGAGAAATAGAGGGGGTGGATGGGGGAAGAGAAACACAGACAGACAGGCAGACAGAGAGGGACACACACATACACACACACACACACACACACAAATATACACACACATGCATACAAACACACACACACAGACAGATAGACAGATAGATAGAGAAGGTCACACACACACAAACACACATATACACAGAGAAAGAGAGACAAACAGACAGGCAGACAGACAGATGGACAGTCAGGCAGACACACTCACAGACAGAGACTGGGCAATGACCAGGGGTACCCTCCTGTTGGTGGCCAAGCCTGAGGGAGATACTTCTTCCCCCTGACTGTGGGCCCCCACCGTGAAGCAGCAGGAAGCACCGGGACCTGGGACACGGGAACAGATTGTCTTCTCAGAATCTGGGGGTGGGTCCTAGGCAGTGGACACTAATGTCGAGTTCACGGGTTTCTATGTCCTGTGCACTGAGAGCCAGGCCTGCCCACTATCCAATTGGATACCAGTACAGACGGGCATGTCCCCTCTCCCAATGTACACCAGTACAGTCGGGCCTGTCCCCTTCCCGATGGACACCAGTACAGCCAGGTCTGTCCTCTTCCCGATGGACACCAGCGGAAAAGAATTTCAAGAGTAGATGAGCGGTGAAGTAAGAGCCGATTTTATTTGGAGGTGTGTGAAGGGAAGGAGAGAGAGAGAGAGTTGACTAACGCTCAAGACAGTGCGTGAGCTTCCCCAAGGGTGCAGAGACCTCCCCCCCCCCCACACACACACACACACCAGCATTAGACAGGAAAGCATGAAAGCCCGCAGCTCAAAAGGGGAGATGTGGGTGACACATGTGCCCAGCCACATGGACACAAGCGGCAAATGGCCAGGACAGCATATGTGCCCTCCCTTTGTTCAAGGTGGCTTTATAGGGTTTCTCCAACCTGCCCCCTCGTGGGGCTACTACCTAGGTCAAAGTCCATTGCTAAGGTGGTTGGGGGGGGGGGGGCAGGGCAGGGGCTGGGAGAAGCTCCGTGCAGCGAGTGTCCTTTTCTCTCAGGCTGACACACATCAGCACAGCATCCGAAGGTCCCCAGAGCTGCTTCAGTGACTGACAGGGGCAACGGCAAGGAAAGAAACAGTTCACCCCTTCACAGCTTTGATGGATGCTGTGGGAAAACGTATGTCCAACAACCTGACAAGGCAGGACTCTCTCCCCCCTTCCCCACTAGGGTATCAGAGATGCGGTGCACCCATGTTCTGGACCCCACGCTATAACTGTTGCCCATCGCTGTGAGGTAAATCACCCCAAACTGTAGTGGCTGGGGAGAGGGTGCTGGCGTGATCTCCTCCTGGGCTGTGGAAACTGGGCCAGCGGTGCCTCTGGGCCAGGGAGCTCTAGCACCCTGCAGCCCACTGTCTCTCCGAGCTCACTCGTGGCTGCTGGGGCATGGCTCTCTTGCAGGCTGCTGGGTTTGGGGTCTCAGTGGCCATTGCCGGGAGCTTCTCTTGGCTCTGTTGGGGAATAAGATGATCTTCCCCTCCCCTGGGAGGCTGATGATGAGGAAACTGTCCCAATGCCAGGAGGCGCATTAGCAAGAGCAAAGGCCGGTTTACTGCACTCGATACCGAGGAGGGATACTCAGACCCCTGCCTCCGAGACCCCCACAAACCAGGCGCCTTTTCTATTGGCCTCGAGGGAGTTGGGCAAAGCAACAGGTGTGAGTCTCAATTGCCTCCACTGGAGATAATCCCCCCAAATAATCTTGCATCTACTCAAGATCATTGCCCCAACCCCCGGGTCAGGCTGCCCTGGCCCTGGGCTCCTGACCATGAGACTCTCATGGGCAGCTCAGAGCATGGCAGGTGGTCTCTCCGGAGTCAGCAGGCAAGGCCAAGAGTTGCCTGAGCCCCCCATGTGTCGGGAACGAGCACCAGTACATCCAGGCCTGTACTGGTTGTGAGTGCGGGCAGGAGAGCAGGGGCGGACAGAGCGGCCTTCCCGCTGACGCGCTGGCTAGGGAATGTTGCTGGGTTCAGAGGCCTCGGGCTCCTGCTGCAGTGGCCTGCATTGGAGAGGACACTTCCCTGGGACCGTGCCATGGGCCTGTTTGTGATGGGAGAGTTGAAGAGTCGCAAGAGACTGAGTGTCCAGCAAAGCCCCCAAAATATTTATAGGCAGCAATCACAAAGGCTTTTGATGCAGACACCCCAGAACTCTCCCAAGAGAAGGCTGGGGAGAGTTCCCAGAGGCGTCCGCATCATTAGACTAAAATTCTCTTGCTGCGGGTAAATGACCCAGTGCTAAGCCAGGGTCAGCGGGTGGAGCGGGCCAGGGCTTCCTCGCTGCCCATTCTCCACCACATCCATGGGGAAGCCCCAGGCTAAGCCCAGGGATGCAGAAGGGCGTAAGGGCAGCTGAACGGCCTCCCACAGAGCGGACTCAGGCAGCCGTGAGCCCCTTGCGGCTGAAACCCCATTTGACCCCAACAATTCCCTCCTCCTAACCTAGCCAGACTGGCCCAAGTCCTCCTACCCCTCCCCCCCACCTCCCCACTTCAGACCCTGCAGAGGATCCGACCAGCCATGTGGATGCTACTGGCTGAGTGCCACACCCAAGATGGTTTCCATGCGGGGGAGTCTGCGTTGGTTCTGATCTCCATGGTGTCACTGGCAAGGACTTTGCCGCCCCTGCACCCCTGTATCCTGCGCACGGCACCGCCTCCACTCCGGCCCCCAGCCCACAGAGCTAGATTGCTTTGTGGGGACCCCGAGGCCCCCAAACTCCTGCCCCAGAGCTCCCACCAGCACAGAGGGGTGGGGCGGGACTTGGCTGCAGCTACTCCCGGGGGACCAAACACGAAGGGCTGTGGAAGCAGCCCCACTGCAGGGCAAAGGGCAGCACCACCGTCTCTCCCTTGGCCCTGGAGAGGCTGTTGCCAAGTGGGCAGAGGCACCCTGGGGTGGTCTGACGCATGCTGCTCCCTTCTAGCGTTTGCCCCTGGGGTTCCAGAGAGCCGCTGTGTTATTGTGGACCGGGAAAGTCCCACGGCCCTGTAAGGCTTCACATTCCTGAGCAGGTCGGAGCCTGCCAGGAGTGCCGTCGCCAACCTGAGTCCAGAGCGGTGTGCCCGCCTCCTGTCCGCCTCCCGCCCACCCACCGTGTCTCTCTGCCTTTGAGGCCCGCATGCCCCTCCACTGGCTTCTGCAGCTGCTGTCCTTCCCAGACACGGCTGCTCTGTTCCAGCTTCTGGGCGACCCTGTTCCTCATGTCTGTGTCTCTCTGCAGGAAGAGTTCCCGGCTCTGTGCTCAGGGCCGCTCCTGGCAGAGGCTGGGAGTCAAAGCCGGGTCAGAGCCACCCCAGCCACCCACAGAGCAAGGGCCTTCCCTCCTGGCCTGTCTCTTTGGCTTCGCCTGTCCCTTCAGGAGCACCGCTGCTGTGTGAAGGGCAGCCATGCATCCCTCTCTTGGCCACGGAGACCTGTGCTTCTGCTCCACAGGGAGCCCTGCAAATGTTTGGGACCAGTGTGAGCAGGGGCTGGAGCCTGCAGGGGCCCGGACTCTTGCTCCGCTCCTGCGATTCCACTTCCTGTAGAGACGCGAGCGGCTGTTTGTCCTCCGCAACACCCACCTCTGGCCACACAGCCCCTCTCGAGCATTCTGGCATTAGGTACCATCACATCCGTCCAGTCCTGGACGCATTCCCACTGCCCCTGCTATCTCTCCATCCTTTGCCAACTCGACTTGCTGATACTCTCTGTGCTTACAATTTCTGGCTTTACTTCTTTTTGCCATTATTTTCCTTTCTGCTCCTAACTTTGAAATTTTTACTTCGCAAGCATGTCTGGTTATCCCAGTGAATGAAAGCATTGCAGGCCGGGCGTGCGGGTTTCTCACCAATGCAGAGAGAAAGATGCCACCTACGAAAGGCAGCCAGAGATTCAGGATGGAGTTTGGTGCTCGCCTGAGTGCAACGACAAAGGTGTCCTCCAAAATCGCTGACCGGAGCGGCACCACACAGAGCACCACCCCGGGCTTGAGGTGAACAGTGTGACAGCCTGAGCAGAGGCCACTGGCTGGACAAGGTGAGTGACTGTGTTTGGGCAATTAGGGAAAGGGACAAATCAGAAGGAAAAATTCCAGCTTCCTGGCTCCGTCACAAAGCCCTCTCAGGAGCTTCTAGAAAGAGGGAAGGTGTGATTACAGGGTGCAGTGAGGCGAAAGTGTGAGCCATTACCCGCATAGTGATGACCCCCGAGTAACTACAGGGTCGGGAAAACGCAGCCGTGGTTTTACTCGTAAGGAAGCTAGAAGCCGTGTGACCTGAGGCATGGCGAGTCCCCACCCCGAGAGCCCGTGTGCTCAGGAGGGCCCCTGAGGAGGAAGTAGGGGAGTGTTCCGATCACGGGCATGTTCTTAGCCCCCGTCTTGGTTTCCTGGTCAGTGGCATGCAGGTAAGGCTGTACCCGCATGGTTGGACCATGACGTGACTCAACAAGTATGAACTGCTCAGCTTGGCACCCCGTGCGTAGTATGAGCTCAACTAACGCCAGCTGTGTCACCCTCCTTCCCGTCATCACGGGGGGACGTCTCCTTCCCAGAGCTGCAGGGAGAGGGAAAAACACTCCCTAAGGAGCCAAGGAGGGACAGAGGGAGAAATGGACAGTGCTGGGTTGCAGCTGGGCAGCCCTGTCTGTGCCTCCTGCTGTGCTCACACAGAGCCAGGAGCTGGGAGCCCAGGGCTTTAGTCTCACTTCTCTCTCCGTCCCTGGCAGCATTGATGCCACTGTGAACAAGGCATCAACTGTGCTGTGTTGAGGTGTGAGGCTTTCTGGGGACGAATGGAAGAGGTTTCAGTGTGGGAGATGCTGGCACTCTGCTCAGGCACCTCCTCAGGCCCTGCCTAGCAGGACACCACGGGGGCCGCATGCCTGCTCCCGACCCCCCGGAACCAGACCACCAGGCAGGGCCCCGCAGGAGCAAGTGGGGGATGGTGTGTAAGGCTGAGCCAGGACACCCTGGTGTGCCAGGGCCCTTGGGGTGGACCCCGCACTCAGGGGCCAGGCGCTGCTGGGCACAGAACCGGGCCGGGTTGCCGCTGCCCCGGCCCTCAGCCATGCTCCCTACACAGAGGAAGGTGAGGGGAGTCGGGGTCAGAGGGAGTCGGCAGAAGCCTCCTGTCTACACCCCTGGCGGGGAGCAGCCCGTGTCCTGGTGGGTCATGGCACTCGAACGCCGCTGATCTGGGCTCCTGTCCCATGGGGCACGTGGGGCTGCTGAGGGCCAGAGGCTCACAGACCCCAGCACAGACCGCAGTGAGGAAGACGAGGCAGAGAAGGCGGAAGGCAGGGCTCAGGGCAGGGCTCTGAGGGGATAGTGCTCAGAGGGAACAGTGCTCAGGACAGTGCTCAGGGCAGGGCTCGGGGCAGGACCCAGAGGGGACAGTGCTCAGAGGGAACAGTGCTCGAGGAAGTGCTCAGAGGGGCAGTGCTCAGGGCAGGGCTCAGAGGGGCAGTGCTCAGGGCAGGGCTCAGGGCAGGACTCACCTTCTCGATCTGCTGTTTGTCCTTCACCATCCACACTTGACTTTAGGATGCTCTAGGGACCCAAGAGACAGCACAGCGGGGACGGCCCTTGCCCTGCACGCAGCTGAGCTGGGTCCTATCCCAGCACCCACGCGGTTCCCCGAGCACTGCCAGGAGTGAGCCCCAAGCTCTTCCAGGTGTGTCCCCAAGGGTAAGAACCTAGACTGACTGCTTTCCAAACACGTACCTGCTCTCCCCTGTCCTCTGAGAGTAGGCGGGGGTGGGCGAGCTCCAGACCAGCCCTCAAGGAGAAGGGCTTTTACTCCCAAGAACCTCTCTTGATTATTTTCAAATAACCTTTTTTTTTTTTTGCTTTTTGGGTCACACCCAGCAATGCACAGGGGTTACTCCTGGCTCTGCACTCAGGAATTACTCCTGGTGGTGCTCAGGGGATGCTGGGAATTGAACCTGGGTTGGTCACATGCAAGGCAAATGCCCTACCCGCTGTGCTATTACTCCAGCCCCCAAATAACCATTTTTATTAAGATATTCCAATTAACTTTCTATAGAATTACATGAAGAGATATAATAGCTTCACATGCAAATATGTATAGGCTAGCTTGCTCACCAAATTGCAGTTGAATCATTTTTAAACTTTTAAAAAATTTGAATTTGGGGCTGGAGCGATAACACAGCGAGTAGGGCGTTTGCCTTGCACACGGCCGGCCCGGGTTCGTTTCCAAGCATCCCAGATAGTCCCCTGAGCACCACCAGGAGTAATTCCTGAGTGCAGAGCCAGAAGTAACCCCTGTTGCATTGCTGGGTGTGATCAAAAAGGAAAAAATATTTGAATTTGACACCGTGATTTACAATACGATTAATGGCAGGGTTTGGTGCACAGCCTGTTCCAGCACCACACCCTCACCAGGGTCCACATCCCTCCCAAGGTTCCTCCCATCTGATCCCCTCTCTCCCCAAGGCAAACTTCCTGTTGAAGACTGACCCTTGGTCCCTGCTGCCCCTGGGCGTGTGTTGTCCCCCCACAGTGTGTTTACACCCCATCCATGAGAGAGCCCCTTCTGAACCTGCCCCTCCCCTGACCCTCTCTCCCAGCACCCCTCCAACCCCTCCATGGGGCAGCCAAAGGCACGAGTGTCCCTGCTTACAGCTGAGTAGGGTCCCACGGTATAGACGCGCCAGTCTCTGTCCCCGTCACCTCTCTGGGGTGACTCTTCCTAAGCTGCCCGTGGTGGGGTGAGTCCAGAAATTTCCAGCACCCGCCCCACCCTCACCCTCATCCTCTGACATGGCTCAGCCGATACGCTCCCGCCCAACACCTTCCTCCCCCCTCCCCCCCCCCCACCATCTCTGCTTCCTCCCCAGACCAGCTCAGGAGGAAAGCACAAATCCAGACAGAGCGCTCAGAAGTCAGAGACACAACATAGAGGAAGGTGTTTGCCTGGCAGGTGGCTGACCCGGGCTTGATGCCCAGCACTGCATAGGGGGCCCTGAGCACCCATTAGAGTGACCCCTGAGCACAGAGTTAGCCTTGAACACTGCCAAGAAAAAATAACCACAAAAAAATTAAAAAGTGAACTAAGGGTCAAAGAGAGAGCTCAGAGGTGAAGGCACAAGCCTTGCACACAACTGACCTTCATTCAATCCCTGACACCATATGTGGAGCTCTGAGCACCTCAGGAAAATTCCCTGAGCCCTCAGCAGTGCCCTGAGCACCTCAGGAGCCTTCCCTCAACCCCTCAGAAGTGAGCCCTGAGCACCTCAGGAGCCTTCCCTGAGCCCCTCAGAAGTGAACTCTGAGCACCTCAGGAGCCTTCCCTGAGCCCGTCGGCATTGAGCCCCAAGCACTTCAGGAGCCTTCCCTGAACCCCTCAGAAGTGAGCCCTGAGCACCTCAGGAGCCTTCCCTGAGCCCTTCGGCATTGAGCCCCAAGCACCTCAGGAGCCTTCCCTGAAACCCTCAGAAGTGCCCTGAGCACCTCAGGAGCCTTCCCTGAGTCCCTCAGCAGTGCCCTGAACACCTCAGGAGCCTTCCCGGAGGCCCTCAGCAGTGAGCCCCGAGCACCTCAGGAAAAACAGACAAAATACATGAAATTAAAAAAAATTAAACAGATAGAAACACAGAGGGCCCAGACTCGAAATTTCCTGGGACCACAGTAGCCGTCCTGTCCTGCCAGCTCCTTCTCTCCTGTGTCTCTGTCACTCTGAGTGGGGCCCCTGTGGTGACAGTCACGAGCGCTGCTCTCTGGCTTCTGCATCTTAACCCCGGAGGCTCTCAGGAAGAAAGAACCAACCACACTGGATGTTCCCTCCAGGCCCCCTCCCTCAGCCCCCTGCACATGGAGCTCATCTCCAGAGCAACCGTCAGCGACTTCCCGGGCTCCTGACACCCCCGCCAGCCATGTTCCCACGCTCAGAGCAGCCGCGTCCATCCACCTCACCTTCCCGCAGGCACCTGGCCTGGCTTCCAGACTGCCCTGGCTCCAAGGAGGAGGTTGGAAGCGCGCGTGGGTTTTACCCACCAGGCCGTCACCCCGCATTCTCCCTCTCAGATGAAGGGAAGTGAGGCGCCTCCCTGACTCATGGTTTGGGGACTTCGTAGGCCGTGGGGGACAGCTGGCCTGTCCCTGCGCTTCTCGCCACCCCACCCCCACGGAACGGACTCGGGGCTCCCTTGGTAGCTGACTCTGCCCCCTCTTGCCCCCTACTTCATCCCGCCCCAGCCCATCCATAGAGTCTGTAGTGTCCGAGGGGCTCCATGGGGCCCAGGTTGTCCAAGAAGGGTGAGAAAGTCACAGGGACCAGCAAGGGATGGCTCAGGTGCAGCCCTGGGGTGCTCCCTGGAGGAGGCAGCAGCACTTTCCCAGCTGCGGCTCTGGCAGAGCGGAGCCTGAGGGCAGTGGGGTGGTTGCCTGCCGGGCAGCTGTGCTTCCCCCGGAGGTTCGAGATGCCCTGGTGAGTGGGCGTGTGCTGTGTGCTAAGAGCCCTTGGTATGAAGCCCGGGAGCACGTCATCCTGTCATCGCTGGGACATGACGGGAATCGCGGCGGCTGTGCTAGGGCTGTTCCGCGAGCCTTTATAAGGGGCCGGGCATGGGTCTCGCCAGCCTCAGCTGCTGCCTCGCTGGCCCGCCATGAGGATCCAGGCACTGCTCCTGGCACTGCTCTGCCTGTTCCTGACTCCTGTCCCAGGTAAGGTGGGCAGGGGGTTGGGGAGGGGGCGTGGGGAGGGGACGCGGGGAGGGGGCACAGGGAAAAGCCCGGAGACACCCATCTGGTCTGCAGGAGGCGTAGACCCAGTAGGGCCCAGGTGGAACCACCCGATTAGCTTCCGCCAGACCCTCAGTGTCCCCCGAGTCGCTATTACAAAACTAACCACACCTGTGTCACCCGCTGAGAGTACAGACAGCCGCCCCCGGGTGACTGTCCCCACCAGACTCACAGACTGCTGTGTCCAAGGACAATCTGGGGGCGCTCAGGAGACCCAGGTGTTCACCACACCTCTGCCCCAGCTAGCTGAGCTGTCCATGGCCATCGTTGTCAGAGTGGACGGGTCCTGGTCGGTCCTTCGTCTGAGCTGCAGGGCGTGGCGGCCCGGGCAGCCTGACTGAACGCATGTGTCCGGCAGGTGACGGCGGCATCGTGAACGCAGTGAGACGCTACTACTGCCGGCTGCGCGGTGGGCGCTGTGCGCTGGTCAGCTGCCTGCCCAGGGAGGAGCCCATTGGCAGCTGTTCCTCAGCTGGCCGCAAGTGCTGCCGCAGGAGGAAGTGAGCCGTGATGCGAGCACCGGACGCGGAGAGGAACATCCTCGCCTCTGTAGCCCGCTAGGAAATTAAACTCTTCCAAAAACTCGAGACACTGGTTCCGTTGTCTTGAATCTGATTGGGGGGCTCGCGGCCAGCCCAGCGGTATGCCCAGGGCACGAGGCCACGCTGGGGGCGGGACCTGAGCGAGGCTGCTGCCTTCAGCTTATCCTGCCTGTCTGGTTCTCGTGGTGGCTGCAGAACGGGGTCAGGACACCTAGCAACCCCCCGAGCTGGAGCGAGCAGTAGTCGCGCGGGGACTGCAGGGTCCACGGTGAGGGGACACCCCACCCCAAGAGGTCGCTCCCCCCCCCCCCACCTTGCTGTCTGGTCTCTCCAGCCTGTGATGTCCCTGTGCACGCACCACGCTCTGGGTAAACAGGTCACTTGCATTTCCTCGGACGCCCCCTGCTGTCTGCTCACCGTGTCTGGGTGGACCCCACAGCGACCCTGCTATATGTGGCCTGTCTCTCCCTCTGTCCCTCAGGCATCCCATTCTCCCTCGCTCGTTCCCACCGCTCAAGGTCTTCCGCGGGCTCTTTGCCAGGCTCCCAGCCCTGTGCTCATGTGCATCAGGCACATCTCTATGTCTCCTTCTCTGGGTCTGGGCTCATGGTTCTCTGGGAGATGAGAATCTCACCTTGGTCACTGCCGGGCTGCCCAAGGAAGGGCCCGCACATGAATGAACTCAGAGGTATGGCTGAGCCTGTGTCCAGGCAGACAAGGAAAGAAGGAAGCCAGTGGATGGAGCAGCCGGTCTCATGGACACCAGTCTAACACAAGGCACTGGGGCAGCAGAAACAGGACAAATGGGCTCTGGGAAGAAGGGGCAGATGCCCTGACTGCGACTGGGCCGCAGCTGTCACAGGAGTCACTCCAGCATCTTGTGCAGGACAGACTGGCTGGCCCAGGCAAAGGTCCAGGGGTCAGTGCAAGCTGTGAGGCTCTGGGAGCACGAATGAGCGAGCAAGCGAGAGAGAGAGTGAAAGTCAGTGAGAGCAAGAGTGAGAGAGAGCAGGAGAGAGAGAGTGGGAGAGTGAGAGATAGCAAGAGAGATTGAGACTGAGGGAGAGAGAGAGCAAGAGTGAGTGAGAGAGCAAGAGAGTGAGAGACACATGAGTGACAGAGAAAGCGAGAGCGGGAATGAGAGAGTGAAAGAATCTGTGAGAGAGCAAGAGAGAGTGAAAGTCAGTGAGAGTAAGTGAAGGAGAGTGTGAGAGTGAGTGAAAGTGAGAGAGTGAGAGTCAGTCGGAGAATGAGAGAGAGAGCAAGAGTGAATGAGAGATTGAGAGTCGGTGAGAGAGTGAGAATTAGTGAGAGTGAGAGCGAAAGAGAGCGAGAGTGAGACCACAAGAGAGCGAGAGAGCGAGCGAGCAGAGCAAGGGCATGTGAGAGAGCTAGAGAGTGAGAGAGAGCATGAGAGTGAGAGTGAGAAAGTGAAAGACTCAACAAGAGCAGGAGAGTGAAAGTCAGTGAGTGTGAGCAGAAGAGTGAGAGAGCTAGTGAGAGTGAGAGAGTGAAAGTGAGAGAGAGCAAGAGTGAGTGAGAGACTGAGAGTCAGTGAGAGAGAGTTCGTGAGAGGGAGAGCAAAAGAAAGCGAGAGCGAGAGTGAGTGAGATCACAAGAGAGCGAGAGAGCGAGCGAGCAGAGCAAGGGTGAGTGCGAGAGCTAAAGAGTGAGAGAGAGAGCATGAGAGAGTGAGAGAGAAAGAGCAAGAGCGAAAGAATCAATGAGAGAGGAAGAGAGAGTGAAAGTCAGTGAGAGTGAACAAAAGAGCAAGAATGAGTGAGACTGGTGAAGGGACGGGCGTTTCATCATTGTATGACTGAGACTTAAACCCGAAAGCTTTGTAACTGCTCTCACAGTGATTCGATAAATAAATTCATAAAAAAGAGAAAACAAAAAGTAAGGTGGAGTTCTTGCCCAATTCAATCAGCCTAATCAATGGCTGAATAAATAGCAATACTCCTACATTTTAAAGAGAGAGAGAATGAGTGAGAGAGAGAGTGAGAGTAAGGGAGAGAGCAAGAGTGAGTGAGAGACTGAGAGACTGAGTGAGAGTCAGTGAGAGAGCAAGACTTAGTGAGAGTGAGAGCAAAAGAGAGCGAGAGCGAGAGTGAGTGAGACCACAAAAGAGCGAGAGAGCGAGCGAGCAGAGCCAGGGAAAGTGAGAGCGTCCAGGCCAGGCTGACCTTCCAGCCAGCCCAGCAAGGAGCAGCATCACAGACTCTGCAGGGGGCAGGGGGACTGAGAGCAGGTGCAGGCAACACAGGTGCCTGTGTCTGGGGGCAGGGGGTGAGAGAGGCCCCAAGTCTGCAGAGGGACCCCTCGATATCAGCACAGCTGGAGGGGCTTCGGGGGTCAGGGGAGAGTCAGACATCTATCCCAGAGAACCACAGGGCCCAGGAGGGGGTCTGTGTGCTTGGCCTGGGGTGCAGTCATTTGGGTGTGACACTGGCAGGTCTTTAGAAGTTGCTCCCGAGTGAAGCTGTCTGCAACCTGTGAGCTCTGAGGATGGGTAAAGGGACACTCCAGATGGGGGAGACACGGTCAGAGGGGCTCACTCCTGAGGGGGAAGGACGTGGTCAATGGGGCTCGCTCCTGAGGGGGAGAGATGTGGTCAGTGGGGTTTGCTCCTGAGGGGAAGGGATGTGGTCAGTGGGGCTCGCTCCTGAGGGGGAGGGACGTGGTCAGTGGGGTTCACTCCTAAGGGGGAGGGACATGGTCAGTGGAGCTCACTCCTGAGGGGGAGGGACGTGGTCAGTGGGGCTCGCTACTAAGGGGGAGGAATGTGGTCAGTGGGGCTCACTTCTAAGGGGAAGGATGTGGTCAGTGGGGCTCACTCCTGAGGGGGAGGGATGTGGTCAGTGGGGTTCACTCCTGAGGGGGAAGGACACGGTCAGTGGGGCTCACTCCTGAGGGGGAGGGACATGGTCAGTGGGGCTCGCTCCTGAGGGGGAAGAAAGGACATGGTCAGTGGGGCTCACTCCTGAGGGGGAGGGACATGGTCAGTGGGGCTCGCTCCTGAGGGGAGGAACATAGTCAGTGGGGGTCACTCCTGAGGGAGGGATGTGACCAGTGGAGCTCACTACTGAGGGGAGGGACACTCAGTGGGGCTCACTCCTGAGGGGGAAGGACGTGGTCAGTGGGGCACCCTCCTGAGGGGAGGGATATGGTTGGTTGAACTCGCTCCTGACGGGGAGGGATGCCGTCAGTGGCGGCTTTGTACACACTGAATCTAATCAGGAATTACAGGTGCGCTCGGAAGCCGGAAAGCCTGGCCATGACCAAGAGCCAGTTCAAACACACCCATCATGACAGGGCGAGACTCAGCGGCCAGGTCGAAGGGCGGCTACAGACAGTACAGGTATATCCAGGTTCAAAAAGAAAGCCTCATCATGACGGGGCTGGAAAGATAGAAGGGACTAAATAGTACTTCCAGGCATGAAAAAAAAAAATAACCTATTTCATTTCAAATAAGCAAAGTTGGATGTGTATGGCACCATCAAGAGTAGATCAGCCTGAATCAAATAATATTGAGAAATCAAGAGGTAGACCAGACGGAGTACAGGGGTTAAGGCACTTCCCTGGCATGCGGCCAAGCCTGGTTCAAACCCAGGCACTGCCAGGAGTGATCCCCAAACACAGAGCCAGGAGGAAGCCCTGAGCACAACTGGGTGTGGCCTCCAAATCCAGAGTCACACACACACACACACACACACACACACACACACACACACACCCCACACACACACTCACATTCTAAAGAAATGAAGTAACAAGAGAGAGAAAAGATGATTAATCCATGTTTAGAAAGATATTAAAACAGAGGAATGGGATAAAGGCAGGAGTTGGGAGGGTAAGTTTCCAGGTCAACAGTTGAATTTCAGTCACAAGAAACTAGAAACAGAGGAAGGGATGAAAGGATAAGGATAAGCAGGGAGAGAATGGAAGAGCCTAATCATCAATAGTGACGATTCTGTGAGAAGCCAGGAAACCACTGGGGCTTTCACTTGTTTATTAAGGGGAATGAAAGAAACAACAAGTTTCACCGACCTAATCAATTAATCATCCAATTTATTACTTAATTCATTATTCTATTAATTGACCCACTAGTCAATTGTCAGTAAAGTCATTGTTCAATTATTAGCTGTTTCATTTATTCAGTGTTTAATTAATTATTGATTGATTCATTATTCAATTATTGATTCTTCCTTCTAATAATTAATTAATTCACTGTTTATTAATCCCTCAGACCAGGGTTCAGGTAGGGAGGGGGAGGGTGTGGACAGTCTCCACTCTGGGGCGAGATTCTCACCCTCCTACACACTGCCTTTGTCCCCTTCCTCTTAAGATCCCACCCAAAACGAGTCCAGCTGGTGTCCCCTCTGGGCTCCAACAGCATCTGTGCATCCATGTGGGGAAACATCATTCTGAATCCCCGCTGGGTCCCAGTTGAGTCCATGCCCTTCAGGCTCAGGGGGCCTCTATTTGGGGGATAACCCCTCCCCCAGATATACATGCAGTTTGGAAACAAATTCTGCCAAGCCCCGGAAGCCTTTGCATGCTGTTTCCTTTGCTGCTCTTGACCCCAAGTACAGGAAATGGAGTCAAGGGTCCGTCATCGTCAAGGGAATGTGAGAAGGTCGCCCTCACACCTGCTCAACACTAGGGATGAAGGTAAAGGCACAGGTGGGGACAAGAAGCAAGATAGATTGAGCTTTCTGTCCAAGGGGTAAGCTGGGGGTAGGGAAACAGCCCGCGCTGGCCTTGACAATGACCTTCGTGGGGTGCCTTGACATCAAAGTGCCACAATGAATGCAAGGGACACGTCTGACCAAGACATCAGCACTGCAAAGGGGACATGGAAGGGGAGCCCATGGCCACACACAGAGCACTCTGGGGCATTGGAAGTCCTCTAACAGCGGGGCCTGATGGTGGCCAGGTCTGAACACTCCGAGAGGCTCA